TTTGGCCACATCCTCATTTCCTGCCTCTCTTGCCACCCTTCCCGCCAGCCATGCTTGGGCTATCGGACACCAAGATGCACAGAGAAATTAAGCTGTTTTTATGACAGGCGGGCCTACATCCTGGGGCACCCAGCGCCACCTCCCCACTCTCCCTCCTGAGGGGCTGAGCCTCCACTCTTACTTTGGACAATGGGGAGACGTCAAGGGAGAGGGACAGTTGGGTCTGTCACTAGACTCTGGCAATAGCAGTGTCGAGTAAAGGTCTGCAGCCACCAAAACACAAAGTAGCAGGTGCCAACCTGCCTGTGGGGTACAAGGAGAAGGCTGGAGGGGCAGGAAGGCTGAGGAGACAGGCGCTAAGGGACGGGGTCTTTTTCTGGCCAAGGGCAGAGGCCATACCAGGGGAACACCCACACGAGGCGGGGAGCTCCAGTCCTTACACCCGGTTCTCCCCGCACAGGCACCGTCCATGGGCCAGGCGATCACACATTGCCTCTCCTTCCACACTATGAGGCTGAGCAGCTGAAGGCCACCAACCTCAGCCACTGTCAGCCAACACTGCACACCCGCACACACAGAGCGGTCCCAGTGCCGGGACTGTGATCCTGTCTCGCTCAGAGAATGAAGGGGTCAGAAGGAACCCTCTGTTAGGGCTAGCCTCCGCCCTGTTTTCTGCTGCAGAGCCCAGGAATGGAAAGCGAAGGTGGGGAGCAGAAAGCGTAGCAAAAGCCTGAATGGTGTGGCCCAGTTGGTTGGGTGTTGGTCTAGAAAGCAAAAGATCACTGGTTTGATTCCCAGTCAGGGCACACTCCTGAGTTTTGGGTTGGTTCCCTGTCAGGGCTCGGTTCCCCACTGAGGCTTCAGAGAGGTAACTGATCACTTGCTCTCTCCCATCCAAGAGGCAACTTATTAATGTTTCTCTCTCTCTTTTTCCCTCCCTTCTCCTCTCTAAAATAAATAAAATATTTTTTTTAAAAAAAAGTGCAGCCCATGGAGGGGGTGGGGTACACCTGGGATCTGGCCTCAGCTTTGACCCCCAACCTCTTGAGTGACAATAATCAAGTGACTTCCCCTTTCGAAGCCTCGGCTTCCTCCAATACAAAATGAAGAAACTGGAATTGATTATCTCTGAAGCACCTTCCAACTCAAAAATTGTATCATGACAAAATGATAAAACACTCACAATGGTATGATTTTTAAAAATGGAACAAACTACTACTTATCTCTGAGGTTGCCTGCCTAGCAACGATAATCCTTCTCCTCTCCCTCCCAGTTGCCCAACCTCCCAACCTGTGCCATCTCCCTTTTTGACTGACCTTTACAACAATCAGACTTTATTTAAAAAAAAACATTAGAGCAAAGAGCATGATTTCCTTTAGTCTTAGAAATACCCCTAGATCTGGCTGGTGTGGCTCAGTTGGTTGGAGCATCATCCCTTAACCAAAAGGTTGCGGGTTCAATTCCCAGTCACGGCACATACCTCAGTTGCGAGTGCATGTGGGAAGCAACCGATTGATGTTTCTTTCTCACTTTGATGTCTCTCTCTCCCCCTCCTCTACTTCTAAAAGCAATGAAAAAGCAATGAAAGTACTCAGGTGAGGAAAGAAAGAAGGAAGGACGGACAGGAAGGAAGGACCCCTAAAAATAAAATGTCCTCCCTGCTTAGGATCCAGTGACCAGGAAAAACAACCCAAACTCAGCTTTGTGCAGGAAAGATATGATGAGCAATCTCTCCATGGCCATTAGGCTTAGGGGAACAAGAGGGACCAGAATCCCGAGTTGGGAATATTTTTTTTACAAAGTTTTGGAATTCCAGAACAAAGTAGGCTTGATTTGCCTTGAGTCCAAGAAGAAGCTGTAGGATGGGTTAGGATTTGGGGAGAAATCAGCAAGCCTTCATTCCAGCCCTGGTGTCCTTGCCTTTAATGCCTAGGACCCACCTGATCCTTTAAATGCTTCCTGGTCCTGTCCTCAAGCACTTGGAGCAGGTCTGATGAGTCTGTTTGTAGGTCACTAACTGCCTCATCAAAAACACTCCAGAACACATTTATTACCATTTTATCCTCCCTTTCTGGATTCCAAAAGAACTCTAGCAATATCCAAATTATTGTCTGGGAGAACTGGCTCTTTCATAATCACAGTTCCTCCTGTTTGGATGGTGCCCAAATCTGCCTGATCCTCCCAGCAGTTCTCAATCCACTGACCCCAAACTAGTAGCAGAATTGACTTCTCTCATTCACTAACTGTTTGCCTGGCTAGGCGCCATCTGATAGGATGGGATGCCAAACTGCTACTTCTTGTTTGGGAGACAAGAGGGAAATGCCAGGGAGGGAATGAATTTCATGCTTGTGTGTGTGTGTGTGTGTGTGTGTGTGTGTGTGTGTGGTCAAATGCAAACTTCACCTGTGATGTCATTGTGTCTAGCAGTTCCCTGACTCAGGGGTGGGGCCACACAAGGGATTCCCTCCTTTATTCCCCAGGAAGAAGGTGTGGAAGGCCAGATGACCTGACCCCACAGCTGGGGCCTTCCCACCCTTTGAGGATTCCCTCCACCCTACCCCCGCCCCCGGCCATATCATCACCTCCTACATCTGCACTGGGGAGTACAGAATCTCCTGTTCCCACGCTGGAGAAATCATACCATCCTGTGAGGCCTTTCTCCAAATCTCTCCGTGCCTGGCCACCCAAACATCCTACCCCAACTGCCCGATTTTACCATAAATGTTGCCACACCCAGTCTTCCCTATTAGGTCTGCCAGGGCCGAGAGCTATTTTTACCTCATTCTCTTCCCAGGCCTGCAGACCTCAGGGAGGAGCAGCCTCTGCCTTCCTCTAGCATCTGAGTACCCCACCCGCTTGCCCCAACTTAGAACATCTGCTGTGCAGCTCAGGGAAGTTCTGCTTCCCTGAGCCCCACCCTGTTGCCGGAGTCTTTATCTCTGAGATCCTCTCAGAGTTGGGACCACTTTAGTCCTTTGTTATTTCCCCTGACGTTTGGGAGCTTGGGATCCACAGCCTGAGCTATTCCTACCTCGACTCTGTTCCCTGCTGGCCCTGGGTTAGTGCAAATGCAGTCAAAGCCACCCTGAGATTAGACCTCCTACTCCCACAGACACACAATTCCCAGCGACAGATCCCTGCCAACTGCTGAGAGGGAGTAACAGAGGGATGCTCTTGGCCTCTGCATGGAAGCCTTTCTCCCTCCATACCCGTCCTCTCGGAATCTCCATCTTTGACATGGGGAGGTTTACCCCAAGACCAAGAATTTTCCCAGGTCCTACGGTCTGGGACATTTAAAGGTGAGAAGGGTCACCCTTTCAGCCCTCCATGGCAGCCCTCTACCATACCAAATAGAAACGATAAAGCTGGTTTGCTCCCCTGTCTTGCGCTCCTTCCTTTGGTGCCCCTCGGTGCTGGGTAGATCTCTTTAGAAATCATATGCATGCACACACGTGCACACACACTGCTTTTTCCAAGCAGATCAAGTGGAAACAGCTCTGGGGCAAACATTTACTACCAGATAGTGCTGTATGGGGAGAAGCAAAGCTTTGTAGAGGCCTCTTGGGGAAAGTCCCTAGGCAGGGAGGAGGCAGGCAGAAATGTCACTTCTGCCCCTGTCCCACCTCTGCGTTTGGCGAAGTGCCAGGTGGCCCACCTCCCAGTACCTATTGTCTCCAGACACTTGTCTCACCCTAAATCTCTCTTAGCTCCTTCTGGAGAGGCCAGCTCAAGGACACATAGCATCCCAGATGGTCACTCAGAAGCCAGCTTGACCAAGCCCCAGAGTCTCCAAGGAACCGAAGCTCCCTGATAGGGGTCGTCTCACCTAGGGGTTGCGGGAAATCCGGCCTTCCTTTTCTTTCCCCTCCCTTCGATAGGGAGAGGAAGGGGAAGAGGGGGCACAGGTGACCTCCCACCCCCACGATCTCATCTCCTTGGGATAGGAACACCCACCAGGCCTGCGGGAAGCAGAGAGGAGGTGAGACTGGGCGCACTCAGCCCAAGCGAGGATCATCAAGCCCTCAGCTGAAGCCCAACTTAATGGTATTGGGGAGAGGGTGTGGAGAGAGGCAGGTTTATTCGGGGTTAAGATACAAAAAGTACATTTTTCATCCTGGTGGGAGGAATGGGGAGAGGTGCAAACGAATCAACAAGCGCCTGGGCGGAGCCTGGAGCGCGCCAGCCTCCTCCAGCCAGAGTGCCCGCTGCTCCGCCGCCCCCGCAGGTATGCGAGGTGATTCACTGCGCCCGGACCGCGGGCCTGGGTTGTCCACTCCCCTCCACCAGCCCCTCTTGCCTTCTTCACCCACCCACCCCCACCCCACCCCCGCCTGCCTGCGTCCATCTGGCCGAGAGGACGGGCGCGCCTCTGACTAGGGCGTCCCCAGGGGCCAGAAAGTGCCGGGAGGCCAGGGGCAGATCGCACCGCGGGGATAGGGTAGGTAGCCAAGGCTGAGGCGGGGGTGCGGGGTCCGCGGGGCTGTGCTGGCTCCGGCGTCCCTCGCCTGGCTCAGCCCCCGCCGGTGCGTGCCTGGGCCCTGAATCACCCGCTATATCGGGCGGGCAGCGCCTGAGGCCCCAAACCCGGGCCTTGCCGCCAGTGTCCGTTTACAGCGGGTCCCAAAAGCCGCCAGGGACCCAAGGCTTTTCCCAAACTTCCCCGCAGTAGACTTTTGACAGAGCCAAGTTGGGAGCGGTCTGCGAGGGACAGTGTCCCCGTGTCCAGTCCCCTAACTCGGTTCCACTACGTTTGACACCGAAGGGAGGGGGGTTCGGTGAGGAGACGCGGGGTAGAGAGCGCGCCCCTCTGCGCACTCCAGGAATCCGCTCCTCACCCCACCCCACCCCAGGATTGGTCGTCCGAAGGAGGGTGGATCCCCCGGGCCGGGACAAGCCGGCGGGAGCGCCGCGCCGAGGGTAGGTCCCCCCACCCCAAGCCCCGGGCCTGGGACTGCGGGTCAGGCGTGGAGCTCTGGGCGAGGTCCGCCCCGCCAGCTCACCTGGTAGATCATAACTTTAAAGTTGCGGCGCCGCAACAGCTCGGCCTCGTTGACCTCCAGCTTCTTGATCTGGCCGGCCTGGCGCTCCAGGCTGCCGCGCACGGTCTTCACGTTGACGCTGACCTTGCGCACCTTCTCCAGCAACTTGCTCACGGTGTTACTGGTGGTGGCGTGCGCCTTGCCCAGCTTGCTCAGCTCGCCCTGGATGCTCTGCACGGCGCCCTCCATCTCCGCCTGCCGCTCCTCCAGCTGGGCTTGGGTCAGCTGGATCTGGTCGACGGCGCCGATGATTTTGTCCAGAAGGCTCAGCACCAACACGCCGTTCACCTGGTCCGACTTGATCAGCTCCTCAGAGCCGGCCCCTGACGGCTCCTCGGCCGCCGGCCCCCGCACTATCGAGGACCCCGGGTCCTCCGCGTCACGGTACCCGGGGAGCGGCTGTTCGACGATGTGGAGCTGGGTGTCCTCCATGGCTACCCGGAGCCGTGCAGGGCCGGCGGGTGGAGCTGCAGCTGGAGCGGGAGACCGGGAGAGGAGGAAGAGCGGGAGGGGGGGAGGAGAGTGAGCGATCAGAGAGCGGAGGAAACTCAAGCCACGTCCGTGCGCTCCGGGACCGCGGCCAGAACTGTGGGGGGGCGATCTCTGGGCTCCCGGGCTCCCAGGCCAAACCCGGGAGTCTCGTCGCCCATTGGCTGGCCCCACCCCAGAAAGGGAGGGACCGGGGCCGAAGGGGAGACCGATGATGGGGGAGGGGGCAACCAAGGGGGACCCAAGAGCCGACCGCCCCACCCTTCCCAGGATGGTTGGAATAGTTGGAGCCGGAGACTAAGCGGAGGCGATGAGAGCGGGACTGCGACGGAGGAATGTGAGCTGGAGAGGAAACAGGTCCTAGAATGTTGCTCTACTTTTCCCTCTCTCCTCTTCTGCTCACTCGCAAATCTGCCGCAGCCTTTCAAGCTCTACAGTGGGGGAATCAGGTGGAACGTGAGAACCTGAAATTATGTGTGAAATATTGTATCATAATGGCTTGCGCCCAGTGTCTGAAAAGGAAAGGGGCCACTCTCTTTTCGAAGGGGACTCTAACCATCCCACCCCCCAAATTGCCAACTGCTATTCTAAAAGCCTGGGGGGTTGCTTGGGGAACCGAAGAAAGAGAACTTCAGCTAGGCTCACAGAGGTGGTGCGGGGCTGCAAAGCTCCTCTAGTTTTCTGTTAGCATTATCCTAACAGAATAGAATTAAAATGGGCAATAAAATAGACAGGAAAGCCTTTTACCCACTTACAACCTTTCTCCAAAAATCAGCTTTTCCTGTGTTTGCCCCTGCCCCGGAGGCCTAGCTGACACTAACTGCAGAGCAGGATCTAGGAATGCACCCTCCTCTCTAGATTCTAAAGACGAGCGCTCAGGAATCAGAGAAATAATCAAATCTCACCTTCTCGTTTGACAGAAGGGAACAGGAGGGCCGGGAGAGGGCAAATGACCTGCCGGAGTTTACCTGCAGGGTAGCATTGGCTTGATGCTCAAACCAGGCTCCCCTCACACTGTCTCCCTTAGCACTCACTGTACCTTTCGTTAGTACGGGATGAGCTCACATGGCCACCCACATGAGCTGCTTTTGAGCCTGTCGGCCTGAGGGTTAACTATGGACATATTTTCAATTATAATGAGTACCAAGGAGCAGGACCAAAGAGGACCCTTAGCTCAGAAGTCCAGGGAAAGGGAGGCTGCTATGCAAGCCCATTTTGCTCTCTAGCACCACATTGGAGCTGGGAGTTCGCGGGAACCGCATCACCCCCCTTTCCCCCAGAAAACCTGCAAACCTTTTCCCTAGTTAGGAAACCAAGCCTGGGTTTCCCTAGCTGGATAGATGATGGTCTTGGCAAAAGATCTGTTCTAGTCTGACATGGGTTGTCATTAGGAGGGGTGAAAAACTGCTTGGTGAAAACCCAGGGCTCCATCTGTCTAGCTGGAGAACCCACCAACCCAGAAAGGAGCTGGAGAGCTGTCTGGGATACTCCCAAGGACTACTGGGAAAAAACATTTCCCTAACACTTCAATAGCTGTTTTCTCAGAAGCAAATGGCTTTCTTGTTTGAGATTAAAGTAGAATGAACTGGTAGATGAGTATAAAATCATACCTGGTGTATAAAATCATATATAATATATAATTATATATATATATATATATATACACATATATATGCATGCTAGACCTGACCAATTTATTTTAGCATTTAGAAGAAAATGTATTTTGGCAGTCTAAGTTGCTTCTTCCAATAAGCATTGGTAAGATTTCCGGAAAAAAGAAGGGTGACAGTAGAGAAACTTACTGAACTTTCATAAGGTTCTTACATTTTTAATTGGTTAGAATATTTTCATAGGTAACATGAAAGATACAAAGTGTGAATAGCACACAAAAGTATAGTGAAAAGAGGTTTTCTTTCAACCCCTGTCTGCAGGAACTAATTTTTTTCCCATGAGATAATTGTTACTATTTTCTTGTGGAGTTTTCTATAGAAAGTCTCTGAATATATAATCAAATATATATATATATATTGCTCAGCATTTTTCTTTTTTCAGTCACTAATATATCTTGACATTTGTTCCATATCAGTATATATAGAACTGTCTTGTTTTCCAAAGTATAAATGCACTATATTTATTTAACTAGTTCTCTATTAATGGACATTTAGAGATACGATTTAAACTTCACTGTGATTGGGGTGGTGGGCACGCTGAAGAGAAATTCTAGTGGTTGGCTTGATTTTTGTGGTTGTGTGCTTGCTGAAAGGACTTAAGAAGTCCATGCCATTTTGACTTTCCCATCAGGAAAATATTTCTACCTTTCAAAAAGGAATGACAGTATTTGAGATGAGTCAAATTAGGTCCCAGGGATAGTCTAGTAAATACATGAGTCATCCGATGCCTCCTTAACAGAGAATTTTGCAGAAAGGGCCCTACCCCTACTTAACCTATGTCCAAGAAATGATCTGTGTCAACATGTTTGTCTCCGTTCCTCCTCTTACTCAATGCCAGCTAAATCCAATAGGGGGCGTGCTAAGCCTTGGTGAACTAGCTTTATCAACACCGACAGCCAGAACTGGAGCGGAACAATCCTTCCCACAGGACTTCAATTTCAGTGAAAATAAGCAGTTTCCCTTCATTTGGAACTGCATTCGGCATGCCGTTACTTGCATTCAGGGTTGACGCTTTCTATTTTCCATTGCTCACTCTATTTGCTGAAAGGCAAACTGTTCCATTGTGTGCTTTCAGCTGCTGAGGCAGAGTCTGCCAAAGGGATAGAAAGGTGGAAACAAACAACACTTTGGCCCAGAAAGAGAACACCGGGTTGCAACCATGTCAGTCGCTGGAATCTCACAGCAGCGCTCTATCATATTCCTCCATCCGTCCACGTGTTCAACAAAGTGTGACTACTTACCATGAGCCAGCTACTGGGCTGGGAATTTAAAGGAGGATAAAGAAAGCTCAGTCCTTCCTATGGAGAAATCCATAGCGTAGCAGGAGAGGCGGATGCATGCGTACTTTCTTACACAAAGAGGAGGGTCCTCCAGCAGCTCAGGGAAGGCTGCCACTGCTTTCTGAAAGAGTGGGGAAGGATTCACAGGGTCAAGGTCTCTCGATGTAAATGACGAGGGAGGGTAGACCCTTTCTTCCCTCCCCGCAGTGACAGCAGGAGGTGTGAGAGGGCAGACCTGAGGGGTGGGGAGCCAGGCATTGCTCATCTCTTATTGTGGTTCTGCCTTAAGTCTTCTCAGTTTATACCCAGGAAGATTCAGCAAGGTGGGAGGGATGCAGCATGTAATGTTTGTTCAGTGTTGGGTCTGTGTTGGGAGAGCTGAGGGAGACCGTGTGTTTTGTTAATAATAAAACGGTTAGGATGAATGATGTATTTTCACATCAGAGAAACAAACCATCCTGCATGGAAAACCAGTCCTCAGCAGCTGGCTCACAGTTGCCATGGGTTTTCCTCCCCAGATTTATAGGCACTATTTTTGTCTCTATTTCTCTTCCTCAAAAATTCCTTTCTTTTTTTTTCAAACATTAATATATAGGATAGACTTCCTGAACCAGAAAATAATTTAAAAAATGTATTAAGTGTCAATTTATGCACAATGTGGTGCTAGAAACCATCCACCGGACACAGCAGGTGTGCTGTGGGGTGAGAGGTTTTTAGTCTCAGGAAAGCAGTAATTCAGGCAAACACAGAAAACATCAAGAAAACACACTAATGAAAATGTCATAAAGCCCCCCTTCTCCTTTGCCTTCAACATGCACCGGTCTCTTATTCTACATAAAAAAAAAAAAAAAAAAGCAAACACACACACACACGGACAAAAGCTGCAGTTTTAACTGGTTTTATATTCCTTTCTCCTCGAGGTTGGATCCATCTGTTTTCTCCCGTTCAAATTCCATTGTCTTCCAGAACTGCTGCTACAGATCTGTTACCTCCAATTCAGCCCTTGAACTTTTGCAGTTTATCCAAAAAATTGACTTCTCTACCAAAAGAGAATATAAAAGTCACTAATAAGCTCCATATTCTACCACTTATCTCTTCTTTTTTAATTTTATTTGAACTCTACAAGATTTAACACTGCTGTCCTTGAGATTCTCCTTGTGGCCTTTTGTGAGGTTGTATTATTTTTATTTATTTCTTGTCCCATATGCTAACTTATTTTTTCTTCCTTTCATTTTTTAAAAACAGCTTTTAAGACTTCTAAAAGAAAGTTTGAAACCCAAGCTTCATTGAGATATCATTTATATAATATACAGTTCACCTATTTAAAATGTTCAATTCAATGGTTTTTAGTACATTCACAGAGTTGACAACCACAATCAATTTTAGAACATTTTTATCACCCCCAAAATAAACGCCTGTCAAATAAAGAAGAAAATAAAACCCGGATCCGGATTTAGTAAAGGGAGACTTTATTTGAAATGATGTTTGCACAGGAGGAAAGGAGATATTATTGTACAATCAGGGGAGGGGTCTATTGGAATGGACAGAATGTTGTGACCATAAGATCTGTGTGTCTCAGGGCTAAACAAAAGGGAGTTTTCCTTTACAGAGAGGACTAAACAAAGCTAAAAAACAAAAACAGGTGCAGGACATGGATGAAAAGGTGACATGGCAGTAGATCAGAGAATGCTTTTTCCTGAACTCAGCCTGTCCTCAGGAGGAGTTGTGTTCTGGCGGAGGCCGAGAGCAGGCCAAACACCAGGGGCTTGGGGGAAGGAGAGAAGTTTAAATTAAATTTGGTTAAGCAGCATTTTGTTCCAAGTGATCAGCGAGGACAAGCAGTTCAATTATCATTTATGAGGCAAAGAATGACAATATGAAGGGCCTATGTCTATCTTTGTCATAGGTAAGTAAGGGGGCATCTGTGGGTCATAGGGAAAAGGGTGGTTCTTTGCAGTAAGCTATTTCCCAGAACACAAAAGGGTAGGGAGATGCCTTTAAACTTCAGTGTTTTCCAGGAGTGCAGGGCCCAGGTGAAATTCAACTTTGTTACCCCAGACCCATTAGCTGTCACTCCCCTTCCCTCCCTTCTCCCAGCCCCTGACAATCACTGATCTACTTGTGGTCTACACACTTGTCTAATCTGGACACTTCATA